ACCAATATTTTCTTCATTTATTGTTATTCTTTTACGTTTTAGCGATTTCTTAGAATCTTGATTTGCAAAGTTAAAAACATTTTGGGACAGCATTCCAACATAACACTTTACGGTCCTTTCTATTTTCGAACTGGTCTTCCGTAAACTGATTCTATAATATATTTATAGTTATGAATATATTATTTTATTTTACTAGTTATTATTGGTACCTCGCAAATCATTGCGTATTTAGATAAATTTTCCCTCTGTATATTGTCAAGCCATTTTTTTCGTCTCTCCGGATCTATTTTTTTTATGGCAGTCTGTAAAAGTGAACACCACATTTATTGTGACAGTTTATCGCACAACAACACGGCATTTTTAGCACAACAGTTAAAAAATTTAAATTGTGCAATTTATTGTCATCAAATTTCAAGCTTGACATGAAATTCTGAGAATTAATGAACCTTTTTTGGATTTAAATCTAGCGCCATCAGGCTGACAAAAAATCGTTATTGTTGCCCTGTCAAACTCGTGTCGGTACTTTATAAAAAAAAATTATCAACTGACTTTGTTCGGCAGGCTTTATCAACGCAACTGTCAACGCAGGCGACGTTTATTAATTATCGAGAACTGTCATGTGTCAATCCGATTATGTTAAGAAATACAAACACTTTACTATTATTTCAGAACTTGCATGTGTGCCTTTATCAACATTCGTGTTCAGTTCTCACAAACTTGGAAAACTAGTTTTTTATCCTGCCACCAGTCGGGCAGTCGGCTTGTGACCCCTTGATCTTCATCATCCAAGGGAAAAGGAATGCGTTGCATCTTTTGGTTGAGTTGTTAAAAATGTTTATTGTCCTACGAATTTAACAGTAATGTTATTTGAAAGCATTATTAGTGATTTATTGGAAAAGTCTTCCCAAAATTGCCAGTGTGTAATCAGATCAACAACAAACGCAACACAAGGGCTGCAGCAGTGATTTAAGTTTATTAAGGATCAAGCGGTGTTATGATAGAAATGAAGGCTATACTTATTTTATTTTTGGTTGTTGTTCATTTGATGTTCTGATAACTCATGTAAGTCTAATAAATCGATAAAAATTAATTTGTGAACAACTATGTGTCAGGTATGACAAACGTCAGCGTGACAGTTTTCCCCGGTAGCTAGCGATCTCTACTACCACAAGATTTCATTATTGAATTGACCTTATTAGATGGCGAGTAAACAGGAGCCGGTGATGATTACAACTTATTATCTTCTTTGTGAATAAAAGATGACAAATTAACCTAACCTATTTGTTAATTTACTTCGTTGTTTTAACGACAAATGATTGTCACAATATTTATAAAAAATTTTACAAGAGCGCACCACTTTCTAAACTTCTGACAAGAACTTTTAAGGCGGTCACACACACAGAGGGAAGGGTCCAGACTTGATTGTACGTGCCATAGGGTACAGTTAAAACTGCTAGTGTGTGGGGAAGAATGTGGCATGTGCAATTAAGTCTGTTGGGATCAAAATTGGCTTGATTTTTAGCGTGCACAGTTATAACTGCGCGGGGAAAACTCACAAATCGCTGCACGCTTGAGTTTAAATTCAGTTGCGCCGTTTAGAGAGTACGGGTTTAATAACTTACGACAAGCGTGCACACTTTTGATTGCACGTCTTCCCTCTCTCTGTGTGTGTGCAGTTAGAGAGTACGGGTTTAACTTATGACAAGCGTGCACACTTTTAACTGTACAGTCTTCCCTCTCTGTGTGTGGCCGCCTTTAAAAAGCCCGAGTGAGCAGGCCTTGGAATTTTATCTGCTGCAGCGCCATCTCTGCAACCAAAAATCTCATACATATCTTAGGAGACATGAGGCTTATGTCTCAGGCGGGGCTGTCCCCACTGGTTGAGGCTTCAGGAACCACGTTAAGTTCTGCGCCTTCCCACAAGGATGTTAGAAAGCGCACTGTTTGTTTTAGGTATTCCAGAGACTTCTTCACAGGTTATCCTTAGGATTTCCTCTGTGTACTTGATGCCCCTGAAAGTGGTTGCTTGTCTTCCCGATGCCAGGCACTGTTCAAGTTGTCTGTCCAGTGCGCCCATTAGCCCATTTTGTACCACCGCCACTTGGTCAGGAGTCAGCTTACCAAGTGGATGCTGTACATCAATTACAGCTACACGGTGATGACTTGCAGCTACCTCCCTGTAGCTATGTTATTTATAGGTGGTCTCTGCCTCCTCATCCTCTTTTGCTTTTGTGCTACCGCAGGTGTGGAGGTGCTCTTTTTTCACCCTGGGTTGTTTAGGGTTTGGCTATTGCAACTTGCCTTTGCCCTTGGGGTTTATCCCGGAGGAGGATGGGCCCGGTTGCGGCGGGTCGGTGTTCGCCGTCTCCGCTTGCAAGCGAGTCTTCCTCCGTATTTTTACCTTAGCCCCGCAGATTAAGAAAGTCTTGGGGTTGATGTTGAACCGTGGTCACCTTATATGGGTGCATGTGGAGTTTTTCTTTAAGATGGTTTGACAACTTCCGTAAGATATACCTATCGGTTGAGACAGTCTCCTAATAGATTTGTTCGGACTATGTTGCATTCTTTCTTCAACATTATGAACTGCCTGTTCCGTTACCACCGATGCCGGTCTTCCAGTTGACTTTTTTGTTCGATACTACCGGTTTCAAGAAACCGCCCAACAATACGTGTACACTTACTGTGTGAAAAGATGAAATGCAATTTGTATATCAGGATACATGCCCATGAACTGGTCATAACAAAACTTTATGGAATAATCCCAGTTCCCAATATTTATTGGATTCCAGTACGAAAATAAGCCATTACCATAAAGGTATTTTGCTCCACAGAAAGAGGCATGTTTTGAAGAAAAAAACAATCAAAAACACAAACCTACACACTTGTCGCAAATTAAAATGCTGAAATGCAGTTCTTCCCGCCAACTGAAAAACCAAAATTATTTTAATTCAGTTTTGCCAACTATTTCAATCATTCTTGATCTCGTTGTGTAATAAACAAGGGAAGGGAAGTTTCATCGAAATAACCATCGACCAATTTTTTATTACGAGGGTGGGGTGATTAATGCCGGGCCTCAACAGGAATGCATTGTTTTTTTCGGTTAATTTTTATTTATTTCTCAACATAATCTCCATTTAGCTCGATACACTTAACCCAGCGATCTTCTAGAGCGGTTACACCGGAGTAATACAACGATTTGTAGAGATCTTCAAAATAACTATTTGCTGCTTTGATGTTGTCATAAACCTCTTACCACCCAACCAGTTTTTGAGGTTTGGGAAAAGGTGGAAGTGACATGGGGCTAAATGGGGTCTGTAGGGAGGGTGGGGAACCAATTCAAATTTTAATTCATGAATTGTAACCATCGCAATGACTGAAGTATGGACTGGTGCATTGTCCTGATGAAACTGCACCTTTTTTTTCCGGCAAATCTGGCCGTTTTGCTTTAATTTCCTGTTGTAAACGTTGTAGTAGAATGGCATAATATTCCCCACAACTGTTTTTCCCTTTTGGAGGTAGTCAATAAAAATTATTCCCCTCGCATCCCAAAAGATGGTGGCCATAACCTTACTGGCCGATGCAACTGTCTTCGCTTTCTTCGGAGGTTCTCTTTTTTTGGTCCACTGTCTCGACTGCTGTTTTGTCTCGGGGGTGTAAAGATGGAACCATGTTTCATCGACTGTAATGAATGGACCCAAAAACTCAGTTGGGTTACGCCTGTAGTGTGCCAAACAATCAGCCGAAACATCCTTACGACGCTGTTTTTGGTTTGGAGCGAGCAAACGCGGCAGCCACCTGGCGCAAAGCTTTTTCATTGTTAAGTGTTCATGTAAAATATTTCGAATACGTTCTGTTGTGATCCTTATTGATTCTGCTACCTCCCTCACTTTCACTCTCCGGTCAACCAAGATAATTTTATGATTTTTTTCTGTAATTTATGGAGGGGTCACCTCAACAAGATGCCCACTGCATGGTTCATTATTTGTGCTGATTCGGCCCATTTTAAATTTAGCAACCCATCACTTAATTGTTGTATACGATGGAGAGGAGTCTCCCAATGTTGTATCCAACTCTTTGTTGATCTCACTTGCTTTTAGGCGTTTCCAAAAAAAAAAAAAATTAATCATTGGCCGAATTTCCACTTTTTCCATTTTGTTAGAATTGTTTGATGCATCTAATCTGAAGGACTGCCATCCAACTACTAAACGACCTATTGACATGAAATTTTTAAGGGAAGCTGATGAAAGATGAAATTATGGAATGCCATCATTATACTGATTGTATTACTCCCACATCTATGTGAGGCCCGGTACTTGTCACCCCACCCTCGTATACTATATGTATTTACGTACACTCATTAATTGATAAGATGAACACGATTACTTATTGTTAGGATTTGTTCTGTAACTGGAATCTGATTATATTGGCCAAATAAACGTTATTTATCAGCCGTAAAATATAGTGTTGTGATAATACGAGTAGTATAGTTTTTGCAAGCTACCACCGGGCAGGGAAAGTCATAAAAAGTAAGCAACAATGAAAACCGCAATTAAGTGTTAAGAAAGTTGGTACGTACCAAGACCCTCCCGTAAATAAAATCTTCCTTGCTATTACGTTGCATTCGGGGCTTTGCTAGGTCCGTATTCACCAAGTTTTATTGAACTAATGATAAAAACATTTAAATTGGTTTTATAATTTTAGCGTTAATAATAATTATAATCACATTATAATGTACGAGTATAAAAGAATAAAACATTTATTTACAACTTTCCAATCACATATTTAACTAAGTAGAAATGTAGAAAACGGAATAACGAATCCTGCCCTGAGTATCGTTTCTAGGATTCTCTAGGTAAACCCAGCCCAGCGACCGGCTAAAAGAGGTGGTGTCATAATTTTCCGTGCGTTATAATCCGATTAGGGTCGTCTTTGTTGCTTAATTTTTATGATCTCCACTGTCCGGTGGTAGTTTGTAAAAACTATACATTGTTTTTTTGTAGCCGTGATCAAGGTTCAAAAAGGGAGTGGAATGAAGAAGAAAGAATTCTAAGACTATTTGTGATTGTTCCAAAAAACATGACGGATTCTGAATTACACGACTATTTTAAAACTTTTGGGACGATAGACTATGCTACAATAATGAGAGATAAAGGAACTCGCGAAAGCAAAGGTTTTGCTTACGTGAAATATTTCAGGTATGATTTTCTTTAAAAACCGTTATACATTTTAGAAACATTCAACTTTATGGATATATACAAATATTTTGGTTTTTGATAAAAATTTTGAATAAAGTTTATACTTGAAATTAATGAATTGCTGCACACCGAATACTGGGGTGCTAACGGAACATTTTTTTGCTAGAATATAACTTTTTCTATGAAACACTATGAAAACCAAACATGACAATTTTAAAAGCTACATTCTGTATATAAATAAGTTAATGAAAACGATATTGGTGGTGTTCAGCAGACTTGAGAAATCGTTGATAATATTCAGCGATTAAGAAAACCAAAATGGGAAATTGTAATTTGATAGTGCTATAAAGCTGTAATTTAAACAATTGTAAATCGAAACATCGTTTTTTGTCAAATGTTTGTGTCGTGACACCAACTTATGCGTGCTGCTGCAATTTAAAAACCGCGGGCAGTAGCCTTGCTCGAATGTGGTCAATCTTTCCGGGCAGTAAGCAGATCGTTAGGTTTACCATTCTGTAATCCACAGGGTATGGAATCCCTTCAGAGAGACAGGAGAGTACACAAGATAGGCCGAACAAGTTTCTCAAAGGAAACAAACCCCGCAGTAGGACCGGTTTCTTACTTTTGCGAGCTTACATCTAGCTTATAAGATCTACTGGGGTAGAGATTTGGGAGCAAATCGTATCGAATAAACTTCGACAGTAGACCTGTGAAAAAACCTCGTTAAATAGAACACAAAAGAACGCGAATGGTATTCGATCAAAATCATGCGAACTGACAACTTCAACACTAGAGTTCTGGTTTTTTACGGACGAGTCCAGATTTCACCGAAGTCGTTGTGATGGCGCCTCCGTGTCTACAGACGTCCGTGTGAACGGTACTTACCTGCTGTCATTCAACAAGTCTATAGATTTGGTAGCGGATCTGTAATAGTTTTATTGATTATAGGGCAAAACAGACCTTGCGGTTATGCATGGGAATTTAAACACAAGAAATTACATTGATTTGGTTTTGGAACGTCATGTAGTGCCTGCTGCTGATTTCATGGTAATGTAGGATAATGCAATACCACATAGAGCTCGGATAACAACAAATGTACTTGAAGAATGGAAAATAATTCCTTGAGAAGACATTTGAAGGCTAATTCGTAGCATGCGTAGACGATGCCAAGCTGTAATTCAAGCTAACGGGGGAATACACTGTATAGTAGACTGTTAAAAATTTTAATTTTTTTGCAATAAAAGTATAGCCGACAATAGTTTCTCATATTCTGCTGCTCTGCATAATCACTATTATCTAAAGTTTAACTACCCATTCAAAGATGTTTTTTTAACTGCTTATTAAATGTCTTACCTTTCAAAAATGATTTGTTTTGTTTTCATCACAACTTCAAGGAAAGAGGTATATTTTGGCAAAAAATTGTTCCGCTAATTAATTTGAGTAGTGTATTTGTACTACTTCTGTTTTTGTTTGAAGTAGTGTTAATATTAGTCAGTAATTTATATAACTATGTAATTATTGTATCACCAGTTTTTAAAAATATTTATATAACATATGTAATGAATTTTTGTAGGTTTTCTCATGCTGCTGCTGCTTTTGAAAAGTGTGATCGAAAATATAAGGCTGTATTTGCTGAACCTCGAAAACCATATTTGAAGAATGAAGAAAAATTCCAAGTTAATTTTAATTCGATAAACAAAAGTACGTCGTTACCGATACCTGATATAAACAATCCGACTGGTTGTACGAAGTTAATTGCAATAGTTAGTCCACAACTTAATCAGGATCAACTGTGGAAATTATTTGATATCATACCAGGTTTAGATTATTGTCATCTTACATTAGAAGGTCATCCTACGCCAAATAGAGGAGTTGCTTCAGTTGTTTATAACAGTGCACAATCAGCGTCCTATGCAAAAGAAAAGTTACACGGATTTGAATATCCTCCTGGAAATAGAATAATAGTAAAAACAGATCTTGAGGCTGTTCAAAATTTTGAATCTACATGTGCAGAGCAAAAACAGACAGACATAATACAGATTACCGAAACAATAGCCCATGCTTCCAGTTTGATTCAAGGTGCTGCTCTGTCTTCAGGTATGCTTTTTATTTTTGGCGAAATATGTTTGTTCTAATTAGTATTTTTCTGTTTCTTTTTTCTGTACAACCTAAAATGATATGAGCATTTGAATTTTGGGAATAGAAATGAAATTACTATATTATCACTGTTGCTTAACGTGCAAGTTAAAACCACGGTGGTAGAAGTAAGGTGTGGAAACAAGCCGCTCCAATTTGTTGAATAAAACACGCATCCCAGTAGGCTTATTTACTACGAAATAGTATGCAGCACAGTATGTCCATCTATGTATTAACATTTCAACTTGTCAGTGTATTTATGAATGAATTAAGTGACAGATTCGTTGGAGGGAAAATAAATCACAGCACAACGGTTTGTGGTTGGTCCTTGGTGTGAATCGTGTGATTGGTGGATGATTCGACATTTGTGATTGGGTAATAAATGACATTGGCATAAATGTCAAAGATTTAATGCAGTTTTCTATTACTTAATTTCAACTGATCTCTCTAGACGTCGCTGCGGTGTGGACAGCGAATGACATATAATCCAAACCACGCGATTTGTGTTTTCTACCAATGATTTTGAGGAAAGTTATGAATGAGGTTTCCACACCTTACTTCTACCACCGTGGTTAAAACTAAAGGTGTTCGAATGATTTGACTGATAAATTCGTCAAAATGAGTTTTTTTTACGAAAAATTGAAACTAGCGCCTCGCTCATACGCACAGACACAAGGACAGACAAAACCAAATATGTAACAACACGAACGTTATAAATACTACTGGTGTTTTTAAATCCCAGCGTAAGCCAAGGCCCCAAAAACAAACATACGTTACATTAGTTATTAAAGATGCTTTATTTAAGGGATCATATAAAAAAAGGTTTGTGTACAGGTGGTCCACGAGTAATAAAGAGCCTGAATAAATTTGAAACGCAACCCAAAGTACATTTTCACCACTATCTTGGATATTATAATTACATTAAATACAGTAACCTTAACACTTGTCAGAAGTTTTGACAAAAACACGTTTTATTTTTTCCTAATGCAATAAATGTTGGAAGTTTTGACCCATGTTTCTCTCACATGCGTCAATCCTATTCCAAAAGGATGTTTTAACATGCATTAATGTTTCCGGGGTAATGGCTCTTATTGCTTCTGTAATTGTTTCTTCTAAATGGTTGACACTAAAAAAAATTACACAGTGCTAACCTTTTTGGGTAGTCAGTGGGTTTTAGTTCTTGAACCAAAATCAGGTGATAGACATGAAATTTATGTGTACTGAGTATTCGTTGCACAGACGTTTTACTAACGTCAACAGTTGCTGCAATTGTTCTTTGACTGCAACGGCGATTTTCGTTAACCATTTCTAGAACTCCCACTTCATTTTCAACACCGGTAGCTCTTCGTCTTCGGGGTTTTTTCGTAGATGGCCAGTTCTCCCTCAAGAAACTTTATAGTCCTTTAATGGCATCTGTAGGGGCTCTTCTTTCAGGAAACCGTTGTGATTAAACACGGGCTGCCAAAGACGGGTTCTTTTCATCTACCTTTTCATAATTCGAATACACCGCCGTCTACGTGATAAATCGAACGGGACTAACGTCGGTGACAGAAGACCCCATTTAAAAACAGAGTGTAAATAATCCTGACCACCTACACATCTTCAGCACAAAGTGCTATGTACACGTGCTGAAGCAAAATCGGCAAAAATTTTTTTCCTAGTAACGACAAATAAAGTTATTACGAGCAAAGATGTTATATTCGCGAATGAAACGACAATTCCGCAAAACTGCAGAGAGAAGTCAAAAAAAAAAAAAATCCGTAGAATTGGATTTGTAGAAAACTGCCGAAGAAATAGAAACAGATGAACCGGCTTTAGAGATAGAGGAAGAATCTAACAGCCCCGTAGCTAGAAAACTTATTCAGGGGGGGCAAGTTTGTCGACAGAGGGGGCTTCATGTAAATATGAATATATATTTTAATAATACACTCAGATAACTATCTTATTTTTTCTCAGTTTTTACATTTGAAAGAGTATTAAAATAATTGTAAACATCGATCTTTTACGCTATTAAATTTTCGTAAAAACCTGGAAGTTCAAAGATTTCATACGGTACTTTTAAAAAGCCAGAAAAACCAAGTTTGCCAATCTTTGATGCGTCATTGAAGGCGTTAAAACAGATAATGTAGATTCACAAACAGCTGTACTGCATCCAAAAATTCGTACAGTGGCCAATCACTAGATAACAACCAATTTGTTTGAATTTATTTTTTTGCATGTTTAGTAGTAGGCTATGGAATAAAATGTGACATGACAGTTCATTTTTTATACGGTCAACATCAACGTTAGGATGATATTGCCAAATAACAAACCCTGTAAGAAAATAAAGGGTGGGCGGGTGGGCCTAGTAAATATGCTTCGGCAATCGGCTTTATATTGAAATTTTATTACTAATTTGAAATTTATAATGTGTAAGTCTTCCAGGGGGGGCAACCACAACTGCTAGGGGGGGCTCAGCCCCATCTTGCCCCCCCGTAGCTACGGGGCTGGAATCTAAATATTTCGGAAGCAGAAAAAAAGGGACAACGTCCACACCGAAAGACAACTAAGCCGGCGTATTTAGAAGACTTTATTTATTTTGCCATCGTCGCCCTCGTATAATTTAGCAATTGCGTCCGAAAATGCGCAACAGTGGCGCAACCGATGGACGAAGAAATTGGGTCGTTGTATGAAAACGATTTCTGACAGTTGGTGGACCCGCTGTAGACAAGAAAATCATCGATAACTGGTGGGTTTTCCGGGTGAATACGAACAAAAGCGGTGATACTGTATTGACTATGTCAAAACATTTAGCCCCGTGGCCCGGTTCGATATCGTTAGAACATTATTGAGTGTTGCGACATCACGAAATTTAACAATTATGCAATTTGATGTGAAAACTACACTTTTGTGCGGGTTTCTCGAGGAAGAAACATCCAGATAGAAACAACGATGAATCCGGACGCGTGTGCAAGTTAAAGCGCAGTTTGTATGGTCTAAAACACGAACACGAAGAAGCAAAATTTCTTAAGAGTGCGCATGTCGTCTGAGTAGATCCTTTTGTATCCTGTACCACATAGTTCAGTTCTGTCGTTACGGTTTTGACATAAAGACGTTTAAAAGTGAAACAACTTTCTCTTCCCAACTACCTTGCGCCAAAACAAGTAAACAATAGTTCAAAACCAAAATCGAAAATTCTTGTAACACAAGTAAAACAATCCCTTAAATAATCAAAACAGACATAAATTATAAACTATCAGATAGGGAAAATTCGAATATTTCTGTCGAAAACTTTTAACGAATACTTTTGAAAGATTGTTTTATAGGTATATTGTCTACACAATGTACTTCAAACTCATTTGTTTGGGAACTGACTGATGAAACAGACATTTTAAAAGTTGTAAAGAATCTAAAACCTAGTAAAGCTAGGGACATTTATGATTTAAATATAATGGTTTTAAAGCACCTAATTCAATTAATTTGCCCAATAATTGCGGATTTGTTTGATAAATGTATCAGTGATACTATTTACTTTTCTAGAAGAATTAAAAGTTGCCAATATTTTACCCTTACATAAAAAAAAAGAAGGAAAGATAACATCTGGAACTATAGACCCCTAGCAATTCTACCTGTTTTTTTTTTTCAAATTTTTTGAAAAATTAGTTTATATTCGACTTGTAAAATACTTCTAATATTCGAAATTAATTTCAAACGGATTTAGAAAAGGTTATTCGACTATCCAGGCATTAGACCTCGTGAAGTCCATTAGATCACGCATAGATGATGGTAAGGTTTCATGTACAACATTTCTAGACTTGAGCAAGGCTTTTGATACGCTAGATCATGGGTTACTGTTAGAAAAGTGCTACGGGGTTCGAGAACAAAGACTATTTAGAGTCCAATCTGAAAAAAACTGTAACAAAAAATGATTGTAAATCTAAATTACTAAATATTTCTCATAGGGTGCCACAAGGGTCAGTTTTAGGGCCCTTGTTCTTCATTGTTTTCGTCAACGATTTACCAACAGAGATTATTGCCAACAACCACATACTCTTTGCTGATGATATTAGATTATTTGATACATCGGGTGATAGAACAGGGCTTCAGAACATGGAGCAAAATAGTATATCATCTGCAAAGTGTTGACTCGCCGATAATAAATTAGTAATAAACTTTGACAAGTCATCGTCCTTGTATTTTTCCCTAAAATCCGATCATGGCTGATAACTTGATAAATGTGAAGTTATTATGTGTAGTAATAGAGAATTATCTTACATAGGAAGATCGCATTGATTATTTAGCTTCGAAAGTCGCATGCTGTTGTATTTAAAAATTGTTGATTTATTGTGACTTAGAAGCAGCGCTTCTCTTTTAGAGAAGTAATTTCGACAGCTTATCTCTCTATGAACTTAATATGAGGTAATTCATAAGTATGACAAAAATCTTAGTTTTCTCTTTACATTTGTTCGGAGAAATCATATGGTCCTTCTGAGCTTTTATTTGGTTATAGCACAGAAAAATACACCTCAGGGTCTTCTATGGGTTCTTGATTCCAGCTGTGACACTGCCTATTTTACCACTGTCAACGTGCATAACACTGCGACTCGTAGAAAAACATATTTCCGGCCAGTACGATAATAATATACACTTGTACAGATCTATTGAAAATCTACTGCTGCCGAGTGCTAAAATTGGTGGTTAGACGGCAGCTATAAAGAAACAATTATGTAATGGTTACTGACATGACACGTGCTCAACCCCCATTTTATATAAAGCTGCTTTCGTACGTCTGTTTAATATAACTTGGATAGAAAAATAATTTTTTTCACTAGCAGCCATCAAGCACGCAAATCCCGACTCATTTAGAGGTAGCAAATTCAACTTTTGCGACCACCGGTTCAAAAAGAAAAATTGAGGTTATGTAGGCAATGTTTGATGTGATTATTTCTTAAAAAATGAACAAATGTGTGCTACAAACATTACTTGAGTATACGCACGGTAGTTGGTAGACGGTAGAAGATAAAATGATTAACTCAGCGTCAAGTGTAAACGGTTTTCTTTGTGTTGAAGATTTAGATCAAGTTTGATTAGAAATCAAAACAAAATCATGTTGCGTCAAAAAATTGAACGTTTATTTTTTCAGTTTATTGTCTTATGGTTTCTACTAGTGAAAAAAATAGTATATTAACCACGGTTTGCAAAGCCACTTCTAGACCTCGCGCTTCAGAGCCCTCGACGCTGTGCGTCTCGGGTTTTAATTTGCGCTCGGTCTAGAATGCTTGGCTTTGCAACCTTGGCTAATAATATACTATTAAAAGTTTATTAAATTTAATTTCTAAACAAGCCATAACTATTAAAATATTGCAGTACACTACAGGGGACAGTAAAATTTGTAGTTTGAAAATAATACATTAAGTACACGTATTTATTACCTTCTTCAAGTATCCTTAAATCGATATTTTTAATTTTAATTCATTCGTCTTTATTTTTGTTTGCAGATAACGTTTTACAAACCAAGCTGGGCTTAACTTCAGTTTCTAAAGATGCTGATGTTAAGAGCAGTATAAAATTGCCTGATTTACAACCCTTGGCCTCTGAAGAAGAATCAACTGTTTCAAGGTAATGTAGAGCTTTGTTTTGCATGAAAAGAGTCGCTTGTGTATTTAGTAAAAGTTTTAAAACGATGTTTCACCCTTTTTTAACCTTTTGTGTACATGAAAATCAGTGCAATTTTGAATATTGAAAGATTAGGTAAGAAGTTAGATGGACTGTATTTGAGTTCGCAACATTTTCTTTGAGCAAAAACAATAAGATAGTATCTTGTTTTATAAGGAGCAAAAATGAGACTTTTCGTGGCGAATCTGAAGGTTTGACGGCCGAGCGCGCGTAGCCGGCAATTACAGATGAGCCACGAAAAGTCATTTTTCTCCGTATAAAACATGCTATTTTTTCTTCAAACGTGGAACTAGATCCAATTTATTGGACATGAAAATGTTGAAATCTAAGAAATTGTGACAAAAATCACTTAGAACTGATTCTTAAAGCACTTTCTTGTGTCAGAAAAAAATATTTAGTGTTCGCCCTATGATTTGCAACCCTACTAGTTGCGCCACATGTAAGCAACCAACTGCACACATAGTTGAACTCGCACGAATTCCAATGACTAAATAATCCACGGAGCAAGAAGTGCCACGTTTAGGGGTATGTTTGTAATGGGGTGCAGGGCGCGAAGCGTCCTGCCTTCACTAAAAACCCGACATTACACGTACGCGTGTTGTTGACTATAAAAAGTTAGGTTATGTTGGAAACGGCTTCCCATTGAAGAGTGTACAAATGGGAAATTTAACAATTTTTTTGTGGCAAAAGTAAGCATTTCCACAACATTTGAAGGTGAGGAACGTGTTCAGGGGGTGCTGCAGAAGAGTTGTGTGCAAACAGTTTGTGCGAAATCGTGAAGTGCCCTTTGTAAAATTTTACCGTTTCATCTATACTTCTATACTTAAATTATAAAGCTGAAGTGTTTGTTTAATTGAACACGCTAATCTCAGAAACTACTGGTTCGAATTCAAAAAATCTTTTTGTGTTGGATAGTCCATTTATCGTATCTACATATAGGTTATATAACATCATGCTACGATCAATAGGAGCGAAGTAGCAATGAAAAATTCGGAAAAACGGGAAAATTATTCCTGCTTTGACAGCTTCCGTTGCTTACGCTGCTTAAACGGTTGATGTTACGTAAAAATCATGTATGACGAAATTGTTCCCCTCTAAAAGTTTTAAAGAAAAGTCCGGACAGCATATGTCTATCTTTTAAGGTCGACTCAGTATAATCTTTTTTATGGTAATGAAATTTGTTCTAAAATAATAATGCATTTATGTATAAAATTCTCGTGTCACAGTATTTGTAACCGAATTCCTCCGAAATGGGTTGACCGATTTGTATGAAATTTTTTATGTATATTCGATAGGTCTGAGAATAGGTTGTAAACAATTTTTTATACACCTAAGTGATAAGGGTGGCCCACCCTAAAAAATTTTTGTTTATTTTTTGGACAAAATTTTTTATTTTTATTTTTTTTTAAGATTTAGCATCAAAAAATACATATAACCATAAATTTTCACCTTTCTACCACCAACTCCTATTTTTTAATCTTCTATATAATAAAAATCAATTGCTGTTCCTGTTAGTTTCGCTAAAACTCAAAAACGGCTTGACCGATTTGAAGAATTTTTTACATTATGGGGATGGTTTATAAATAAAAATAGGGAAAACTTAAAAGAACGGCTAAAAAATCAAAAAATTCTAAAAAATTTAATTAATTTCAATAGTTGGCGTTCCTGACGAACCTGTCGTCTAACTGATGTGTCATACAAAACTATTTCTTCCGTGCGATTGTAAAATAGCTATTTTTCTACAATCGATGTAGAAAGTAGAGTAGGCATTTGACGCTTCGACTTGACAATAGCTATTTGTGTATTAAGAGCGCAAAATTATACATTGCCGTTTGAGAGAAAATCGGCAATGAATTTGCGCTCGTAATACACACAAGATTTTTTCTACAATCAAGATAGTTTGCACAATAATTAAAAACCTCCCACTTTTACCAAAAAATTAATTTTATTAACAATAAAACTCAAAAATTTGTATGTATAAACCAAAGTTTGTTTACCTGTTACTATGGAATGAACTGGCCAGTGAATATTTGATTAATTGGATTAGCGAGCGTTTTGTACATTTTGTCGCGCGTGAGCGACAAAGTGACGTTCCTCGGAAAACTTGACTTTTGCGTTGTCAAGTCCAAGCGTCAAATGCCTACTTTCTATATCGATTGTAGAAAAAGTATATTGCATTTCAAATCGTTCTTTGTTTTTTCGTAAAAAAACGTCGTTAAGTCTTTGTTAAAGTGAATTTAGTTACACATTGCGAAAGTTTCTTATTAATACCTTACCTATATTATTATATAATTTTGATCTGCCATTCTATTTACCTATATTCACTTTGTTGGTTTCGACAAAACCTCAAACTTTACCGTTATTCGAGGATTTAATTTGAAATTTTCAATATTTTAAAATTCTCAAGACAAAATTTACAGATTTAATTGACTGTGAAAATAATTCTGTGTCGTTTTATGAAGTTCATTACACAGCCGAGAAGACGACAAGCTGACATAGGTCCACGAAGTCAATGAAATGTGCGCCGAACTACCTCAGGTGCAAACCGCAATGATTTATTTGATGGGTAATTCGGATATGGAAGTTGATCAGCGTTGTGCTCATAATCAACATAATCAAACATTGAAGCGAGACATTGGGTGGTAAGAATAAAACTGAGTATAACTCATAAGTATTCGAAGTACGAAGTACCTACTTCATTATTACTCTTATATACCGGAGCATCTACTCTATGTACTGAGTACCTACTTGGAAACATTGTATCTCCCCGGGCACAAATTGAACATCTACGCGTTTTGTGAGCATTTAATCTAAAAATGTGCATCGGCGTGGCAAATGACCGAGGTGTAAAGCAGCTTAGAAAACGAGTAGGATCGTTGTAAGAGTGAATTTTGACTAAACATGGCGACTTTCATGAACGTGGAACGTCGTCAAAAGGTGCATTCAGTTTGAAAAACACATTAGGAGCGGGAATATCGAAAACTTTTCAGGTATGTAATTAAGTTTTATTTATGCATAAATTGCACTGGCCATAGAGATTCCCATCTCAAGTTGTCTACCCCATACTAACTTATATTTTGGTGACTCGATTTTTGCCTTGATGGTTGAACACTGTCACTGTTTTCCTTTTTTGTTGTATCGAGATGCTACTTGAGCATCAACTGTTACCTACTGAAGTATTAGGCATCATCTAGAAAAACTAGAAATATTTTGATTTGATATTCGAGTAGATACTTCGTATGCCGAGTATGAGCATCTACTGAGTTTTATTTATATCAACCATTGTCAAAAAATTGATCGAACGTTGTTTCGACAGAACTTCCTGCGCACCAAAAGTATAATGAAACATATTCAGCATTTTCGAGTCTTCTCTTCACACAATTTTGTGATGACCTAATCAACATTTACGATCAACACGTATACCACCTTGGATTGGTGCAGTGTAATACTAAAAATAACTGTATTGTATTCCTAAAATTATGTGGGAAAATCGAGTGAGCCGTTCCATCAATTTTTTGGGGGGAATAAATAAATATTCTTAACAATTTACCATGCTTACAATAACTTTAAAACGTCTGCAAGATCTCAAAGTATTCATTTCTGCAACTCTTGAGTTATTCTCTAAAATAAATTGACTGATCCATACATTTTTACTGTAAAAGCAAATCTAAAAAAATATGAATGCAATGATAAATTACGAAAATATACTGATGATATTTTGCACATTTTAGATAGGATTTATTCGGCAAAATCTTGAGATGACGTCATCAAGTTTTTGGGCTTGATAAACAGATATATTTTGATTAAAAACTTACCATGTCAAACAGTAATTTCAAAACGTCTGCAATATTTCAAAATTCAGTTTTGCAATTCTTGATTCAATCAATAAAATAAATTGACTCAGTGATTAATTTTTTTGAGACAGCCCCTACAAGCAAAACTAAAAAATATGAATGGAATGATAAATCACAAGTATAGTCTCATCCTATTTTGGACATTTTAGTAGATAGGATTCATTTGGCAAAATTTTGGGCTGACGTCATCAATTTTTTGGAGGGGATAAGTAAATATATTTTGAATAAAAATTTATTATGCTTATCATATGTTTAAAACATTTGCAAGATTTCAAAGCATTCGGTTTTGCAGATTCAAAATTAAATTGTAGGTGAAACGAAGTTCACGGGGTCAGCTAGTATTATTATAAGACTATCCTTGATCGTGCATGATGATTGGTTAATTTAGGTGACAGTTATAATTCGAATCTTCGACTCTGACCGACTGAATTGTGACAAATGACATATGACAGTTGTCTGTGATTGACATTGGCAGCACGAAACACTAGTAACAGTGGGAACTTCAACATCAACACATAAGACGGCTAGGCTTAAATTTCATTGGTTGATTCAGCGACAGCAAAAAATTTTTGTCGCCTAACCCCTCGTTTACATTCACTTATAATTATACTTGAGGACCCGGGTGGGTTAGGTAGCATCGCGCTTGCCTGCCACACCTTGGGTCGTGGGTTCGATTCCCGCCCTGCTCTGGGTGTTGTGTATGTCCCCCGTTACCCTGTAATTGGGCCTCCGGCCTGTTGGGTAACGTTAACCAATAAAAAAAGAAAAAAAATACTTATACTTATAGTGATACCTACAAATTATACTTACAAACTTGAACCTCCTTGTGGGTTGTTTACAACATAGCGCTTACGAAATTAGAATCGTAATAAGTAGCCAATCAAAATACTCGCCAAATTCAAAAGGAAACGGGTTTCGAATTGAAAATAAACACAAACAGCTGATCGGAGTGAACGCTCCTGTACTATATGGCGGTTGCGCACAACTCTGCCTGTGATTGGTGCAATTATAAAATTTGTGCAGAAAGCTAGAAGCACAGAGCTAGAAGCTTGCAAGGTTTGGGACAACGGAACTACGTTTCGCTTAAGTAGTAATTCCTGCACATAATTGCTATTGTAAACAGTACCATTAGTTTTACATTACTGAAATTTTGGCACTTAAGTATAAGTATAATTATAAGTGATTGTAAACAAGGGGTAAGCATATTTTTTGATTCCTGTCGAGGCAGTGAAGTGGGACTTTGTATTTATCAATTGAGGTATGCAATGACCCGTATTTCTGACGTTTGAAGAAAAAAAGCTTTAATATGTTCTGTGTTCCTGAACTCCAACTGTTTAAAGTGCAATGGTGAAATTAGGTCTAGGTCAAGCTTTCGTATGAATTCCGTAAAAGGATTTTCAAATTCCTCAACATTTTTTGTTGTTAAACATCGAAAAACTTGTTAATGCACACATTAACTCGTGACTTAAGACCAGAATGGTACGTTACGTTTCTTAACAAAAATATTGACTCTATGCACACATTACTGAATGTTGGTGTTTCCGAAAAAATAGAAACTTTTCGCTAAACATGAACAGAAACAAAATTTGCTATTATTCACAAAAAAAAAAACTACACTACTAGATTCATTAAACCATATTCGCTCGAGTAGTATATAAATGACAGTATAGTCAACAGTTGCAACCATTCACCTGGTTAAAAATGCCTTTTTTAAAAAGCACACGTTGTTACCTTTTAATTCGGAACTATTAATATTTGCATGTTTAGGTCGTCCACATAACTAGTGGTTTTATGATTTTAACTTTTCCAAAGCCGTCGTTTACGAAGAAAAGGCATCTTAACTAATGGTAACCATGATACAAACACATCGGTTATCGGTTATCATGGTGGTAACCTAAACGTCCCGCCAAAACATTTTTGACATGTGAATAATATTATATTATTAGTCAAGGTTGCAAAGCCAAGCATTCTAGACCGAGCGCAAATTAGGACCCGAGACGCGCAGCGTCGAGGGCTCTGAAGCGCGTTTCACTAGTAGAAACCATAAGACAATAAATTGAAAAAAATTGTTTTTTTTATCCCGCGAAAATTTAAAATTTAGCTTTGGATTGTGATCGTCTAATAAGAGTAGAACCTTACATTGTGTTTTGAAAAATGGCGGGAAGTGTTCGTTCATACAAATTAGCGCACTGCGAAGTGCAAAGAGTGAAAGACTTAAGGACCTTAAATAGGAAAAAAAAAAACAATGAGAAATAACCCATAGGACTGATTTCCCAGAGAAAAAACTTTTATTCTAGTTTGAGTCTAAGTACAGAAAACGAATATTAGAAACATCGCAAGTAATAACTAAAAAGAATTAAGTAAAATGCCCTAAATCCTAGGGGAAGTAAATGGATGGCTATACCCTCTGGAGTATGATATCTGTATCACATTGTGTGGCAGCAATAAGTTTTAAACATCAAATCAAAATGATCGTATTGTGTAGTGGTGATAGTTTTAAACCTGGACAATAACAAATCAAAATGACGTAACAACAAATTAAACGTGACACAACAGCAAGTTCAAATGATCCAACAAGTTAAAATGGCGCAACAACAAATTAACCGTGACAGACCAGCAGTTAAAATGACGCAATACAAACTAAAATGGTACACCAACAAATCAAAATGACAATGAAAAATTAAATGACGCAATAACAAATTAAATAACACAATGACACATTAAGCGACGCAAGAACAAGCTAAAATGACGCAATAACAAATTAAAATGACACAATGACAAATTAAACAAAGTCAATAGTTGTAGAACGGCGGGTGTGCTGTAGAGAGGCGGTACGAGAGCGGAGTTTAAGTCCCTCACCGTGTCTGTCTGTCGGTGATTCTACTCTCAAAGACAGGCAAAGCATACTCCGCGTTTCTATGAACTAAAAACCTGGGGCATGGCGATGCTCGCTACTCACTCTTCGCAAGAAGTTCAGCTATTAACAATCTACACGATTCACGCGGACCGAGTCTTCCCTGACATTTCCTTTAAACTTTTATGGTTAGGTTAGGACGTCACGGGAAACGTCGCCATTTTGTAAAAGTTCAAACCACGTGGTCACCAAGCGTTCGTCATTGTTTCCGCACAAGGTTTCGTGGAGCTTTCGTATTTAGATTTGTCGGGAACGATGTTGGCCCTTCTTAAACAAGCAAAGTATAAACAAAAAAAAAAACATACCAGATGCCTCCAAAATTACAACACTTATTTTCTACCTCACCAGACTACGTCGAAAATAAAAATGCAACGTTGAATTTGACTAAAACTTGATGCGTACAGCGCAAATCGCTATAAACAATAAATCGTAATACAGACTACGGTTACCGAAGCTCTGGAGTTGTAAAAGTGCGTGATCTTCACGTGATTTTTCAGAGCTGCAATACTATTGGTCAAGAGATGTTTGCCGAGAACCTGTGCTGGTCGGATTAGTTAGTCATCACGTGATCATCCAGAGCTCGGGTAACCATACTATAGCACAAGAAATCTCCAAAATGACCGAGCCTGCTTCCCCTTCTATTCAGGCCTCTTTGTTATCTACCGTACTGACAATCTAACCAAATATAACATCCCCTAATTTAATAATTCCCGCGTGGCGCAAAACCTCTGTGTGTGGTTGTCTAACTAAGTTTTAAGAAATTTTCCTTAACTTATCATTTAAATTCAAGTTATTCAAATGCGATTTCGCCGCCTTGTTCTTAATTTAATTGCGCGCTATTTAAATTTGAATTGGGATACTACAACCAATACCTCTAAAGAGATAGGTAACCCGGTCCTGTTTACGAGAAGCATGCCAGCCAAACGCAACAAAGCGCCGCTACCAAAGTTTAGGGTGGTATCAAAAATTTGCATGCGATATTCGCTGACAAGACGAGATTTGTCAAACCAAGGGTTAAGCTGACTGCGTATGCAATGTCTGGCCTTGTTATCACGGCTGCATAATTGAGTGCGCCAATAATTTCGTGGTATGGATAAGGCGACGGATTTTCATGATTTTCATCTTCACTGATGCACTTTCTAATAAGTACGCACATAATTTTGGTCGGGGTCTTAGGGCGAGTTGAGCTGGTGTAACCAGCCTAGCAAGGCTGGGGCGTGAGTTATAAAAAAATAATATTTAGAAAAATTAAATTATCTTTAATCAGGTAGCGTGAATTTATCTGGGTCTTCTATCTGAGAAGTGTTAATCACACATCACAGAAAAATGGAAATTCTCTTACCTTTCGAAACTTGCCTTTTCGCTGCTCGAGGGCACGGAGTCGCTCACTGCTTTCCACGGTTTCAAGTCACTATTGTTTTAACGGAAGGGTTGACCGTAAAGTCCGCGAAAAAAAGTCCAACTAGGTTGAAAATCGGTCACCCTTATTTATTTACACACACTAAATGATTAAAAAATTTACAGAAAAAACAAAATGAACATGTGGATCCCCGCTCATGGTGACTTCCACAAATTTAGAACGAAAACAAATAAAAATTCAACACTGAACAAAAATGAACATTAAAATAATTTGAACACAATGAAAACTAACACTTTGAACCAAAAAACAAAGTACGCGTCGAGAAGGAACGAGTTGCACACTACAAAATCCCGGCCAGAGAACTGACAAAAATTGACCAAACTACTCTTTTATAAACTCGCCAAGAGTGGAGACTCCACCCGACGTCAAAGGGGGTAACAAAGAAAAACCAATGGGATGCAACCCCCTGTGTTGAAAAGAAGTGCCTTATTGTTCTCTCTCGTCTATACCAGCAAACCGCCCAAACGGCCGTGGATTTACATATTCTTATCAAAAAGTCCCTAACAATATCAATTACAGTATAAAATAAATCTATCGAACAGCTTTTTGGAGTGACCACTGGCTCGCGACTTAACTAGGATAGCCAGCCATAGATCTCGAACCCATCAAACGTTCTTTTACTTGTGACTCGGTTGTTTCTCTCAGGTGGAATCGCAAACTTCATTCCACCTGTGGTAGGCTAGAGCTATGCCTGTCATCCATCCGAATTTCCAACCTTTTCTTTTCTCAAAACATCTGTACATATTTACAAGACGACGAAATCGCATCATTCCATTTTGATAATGGAATTTCTCGAACAAAGCCCTTCTCTGCCTGTGTGCCCATCCATCATGGTCGGTATAAAAATGTGCCGTTTTCTTGAAATTCGACAAAGGGCTAGGCACGCTTGAGACTCAATTTACTTTTTTAACGACTCCCTCGGAAAAGATTGTACATGTGGTACTATAAAATTAACCCGAGGGTCCAGTGCCACATGGAGAGAGGACGGGATATAGCGAGATGGGACAAAGGAAGTATACGGATCTATTTGTTGGGATTTTCTGGAAAGGTTCGGAAGAGGTGATTTTTAAGGGGTCGTTAACAAGAATTCGACCCATGATGGACAGCCGAGACAAATCAGCTCGCGACAATGGTGACAGTTGGGGGTACACGTGCACTTGTTACACTGGGAAGCACCCTTTCTCAACGTGTTTCTACTCCTAGGGAGGTCGTCGAACTGAGACCCCACTTTCCCAAGCCTATCGTGTTGAAACTGGCCATCCCGCTTTTATAGGTCATGTTGAGTCTTAGACCCATCCCGTGGTTTACCAAGCTGGGGCAGACTCTCCTTCTATCGTATTGACATAGACTCTACCATTCCTAAGTCAAGCTGAGACTTGTAACTTCGCCGACCGTCCCACCAGGAACACCCCCGAAGGACTATTCCACGAGTTGCCGAATCCTATTTTCTTTTATATTACTAAATATTAGCATCGTACAAATTTTTCGGTTACTTTATTTGAGTTTTGTTGATAATAATCGATAGTATTATAACGAAGCATTTTTAGTACATAGGATAACATTGTAACAAAAGTGTATACTTATGCAATTGGTTATATTTTTTAGGTGTTTTATTGTTTGCACACCCAGTCCGCTACCCAATGCAGTCTTGAAAAATGTGTTTTCTCGTTTTGGGAATTTAATTGATGTTTATATGTTGAATAACCGAAACTGTGGTTTTGCAAAGTATGCAAATGCAGAATCAGCAGAGACTGCCATTAAAGTACGTTAACGGAACTATTGTGGTAATGAACTAATTGTAAGTTTCTAGACCTTACATGGAGCAGAAATTTGTGGAATTCGAATGAAAGTATTAAAAGCTGAGGAGAAGCAGGATCATAATCGAAAACGGCAACGAATCGACGACAAATGATGGATTTGTATGATGTGAGTACATTAAAAGCTTTTAAAATTTTTGTCGTTTTTGAGACAATTTTGATTAATGATAATTTTTTGTTTCTACAGACTGATATCTGACAGGGACATGACCACTTTTTGTACTTTACTTACGTAAGATGGGACCATTTACTTTTGACTAGGACTCGAATATTATTATATATATATATATATTTTTCTACATATAAAAGATTTTCTTTTGTGTGCATCAGTTTAATCTTTTGTAAAATATATCTCTTGTTTTAAGTTATAATTGTTCTTGTAAGTTATTGTCTACACTTTTTGTTCTTAATTATATATTAATTCTATTATTTCCAAATAGAGTTATAACCAGATGCATTAAACCAAAACTTGTGTATGTGTCACTTAGGTTTTTGTAGGAAATAAGTTTTGCGCACAAAATGCCTACATGTGACAATAACCAGTTGGATACTTTTCGCGTCGACATGTAGATAGTTCAGTGGTGTAAAGGCATAGAATATATCTTGTATTTTCATCTTTTATATCATTTGTCGGCGTGTCCTTATTAAACATTTTTTGCGTCAGTTTTACTATAGAGATGGTAAAATAACTAAAATTATTGTATTCACTGTTGTTGAGTTAAGTAAGTAAATCACGAATAACCTAGGCACTGTTAGATGCTCCTGTGCCTTTAGGTAAAAAGTCGCCCATCTTTTTAATTTTATATCTGCAGTTTATCTGAAAAGATATATTAATCAAATAAATTTAGTTGCAATTTTTGGTCTGTTATTCTCATTATTGGAGATCTGTAGTTAAGGGTCTAATGGATCTGCATGTATTAGCTGTTCACAATCTCTTTGTGAGATCTACTCTCCCCCGAGAAAATACAAATCCATCAGTGATTTGTATTTCCTCGTATATATATATATACAGAGAGTTCATAAATGATCGAGAACCACGTGATCAAAAATGTATGCAACCAAACATACACAATTGGCAATAGTGCAGATTAATGTCCCTAAATTCATTGGCGTCACAAAGGAGTTAAGAATAAAAAAAATAAAGCATTTCATAAATTGTTTTTATTTAGGTATTTACAATAAATGTTGAAAATGGTTTCCTTCGTTAGCAATACACATATTAACTCTTCTTTTCATATTATCAAATACTCGTTGAAGAGTGTAAGGAGTTATATTTTCAATTTCATGGGTTATTGCTTGTTGCAGCTCATCAATGGTATGCAACCTATTTTTGAAAACATTGTTCTTCAAATGACCAAACAAAAAAAAATCCGGCGCGGTGAGATCTGGCGATCTTGGGGGCCACAGTCCTTGACTTATAATTCGATCGTCATAAACTTCCTGCAAGAAACGAAGTGTGCTTCCTGCTGTATGTGCCGTCGCTCCGTCTTGCTGAAAGTAACCATACTGGCATTCGTCATCATGCAGTTGTTCGAAAAAGGGTTGTAGAATATTAGTGCGATATCTTTCAGCATTCACCGTATCGTGAAAAAAAATCGGTCCTATAATTCTTCTTCTTGAAATGGCTACCCAAACTCCAACTTTTATTGGATGCAAACTAGTTTCTACAAAAATATGAGGATTCTCAGTAGCCCACGTTCTATAATTTTGACTATTCACGTATCCACTCAAATGAAACCATGCCTCATCAGTGAAAAATGTTAAGTCTAATAAGGCATCATCATTTAAATTATTATTAAACCATTGGCAATAATTTATTCTTTGCTCAAAATCCGGTGGAAGTAATTCATGGACGACTGAAACTTTATACGGGTGCATGTGCAGAACTTTATGTAGTGCTTTATGGCAACTTCCGACTGAAAGACCTGCAACAATTTAACTTTTAAACTGTATCATAAAATCTCTTTAATTCTTATGAAAATATTTAACGCCTTTAAAAAATAAAAAATCTGACAACCAATCTTTACCTGTCTGTGCTGATAATTTTCGTATAGATTTATTTGGACTTTGTTCTAACCGATGCTGGATGTCTTCTGTAACTTCTTCAGTCAAAACAGTTTTTCTGCCAGTTGTCTTTCCTTTGCAAATACAATTTTCCAGAGTCTTCCTAACCAAGTATTATTATTTTGTCAGTACGATCATGAAGCTTACACGAACGTAAGATTTCTACTAAATCTAACGATTTATAGAAATCGCACATTTAAAAGTGATTCAACAAGCAAATTTAGAACCTAACAATTTGCTACCTATAGAGTTATTAAACATTTTTTTTGTAATGAAAATGGAAGTCTTGTTTCCCAACATTTGCGTTGCGTTAAGAATTTTTTGTACGCTTCTGGTTAGTGTTGCTGGGGTTGAAAGATCTTTTAGTGTTTTGGCGCAATTCAAAAATATTCTGCGTTCTACAATGTGCCATTGCTTGCCAAAAAATTATATTTTGAAAATGTAATCCATTCTTTTGCTGTACTTAAAGCTCGAAAGGGAATTCTTCGTTAGTTATTTTTTTTGAAATTGTTTTACGTTTTTTTTTTTTTTTCTTTTAATACAAAACATGTATGTGTTGTATTTTTGATATCCAAGAACACTTGAAGTTTATACTAAACTCACTTGATATACACATAGTAAAACTTTTGAGATAAACGGCTTAAGCCAAACCACCCTTATAGATCAAACTGGCTATTGTAAGCTTTATGGACCCGAACCGCAAGGATTATTACTGTCCATTGTTGCCATAATGGAGCTGTAAAATTTTACTAGGGATATGTCAACTGAGTTAAGTTATACAATACCCACTTTGACTTATAAATATGGTTTGGCTTAAGCCGCTTAAGTCATAAAAGTTTTACTAGGTGTATGTCAAGTGGGTTTAGTATATACGATCTAAAAAAATAATACCCCCCCGAAAGGGGCCCATCAATCTCTTTGGCCCGGGTCCAGCACAGTCTCTCGATGACCCTGGGTCGACTAAGGAAATTTGGCAGTTTTTTAGTTTCAAAAATTCATTCATTCAGTATGACAAATGCAGAAGCTGCGTTGCCAAAATGAGATTTCCTTTATCAGATGGTATTTCTGTGTGAATGAATTTTTATCCTTGACTACTTGATTTGATGTTTTATTACTCTGTTTAAGATCATAGGATGCATAGGTACAATCGATGGACATTCAAAACTAGTAGAAAGTTGTCAGAAAAACCCCATAATAACACACGGTGGTATTGTCGAAATAAATGTCATAAAGACAAACAACTATTCCACACATTAAGTGGATGGCTAAAATGCTTTTCCTCGAGAATCGTTCAAATTTTTTGAAATTCAGGCAAGGAAATTTTGAAATTGTCTTCTCACTACTCCAATTAGTTAATGCCGAGCGGTGATAGTACGCGGTTGATGCCTAGAGGGACAACGGAATATCCTCCAATTGATGTCTGGAAGCAGAACGGGATATCCTCCGGTTAATCCCTGGAGACGGAATGATAGAGATAAAGAGACAGAAAGAGTCGGTTGATGCAAAGGCTCGTTGTGAACTTGTATGCTGGTTAGAAGGGAGGACCGTTAATCTGACAATACAAAATTTTCATTGCTAATCAGAATGCCTGATACACATTGATAAAATTATGTGTATACTAGTTTTATATGTCCACTGATTGTACATCTTATTGTTAATTATGTAGCCTGTCAGCAGGAATAATCAAAGCAAATAATTTGAATTGTTAGAGTTACTGATTTGAAAAGGTGCTTCTTCCAATTTTACTTAATAATTTTAACATAAATCTGGACCCTTAAACCTATCCATTATGAATTTGATTGCGTAATGTGTAACTTCCAATTATGTTCTTCTTTTAGGCTTATCTATTTGAACTTCGTCTTTGCTGTAAGAGTAATAAATAGGTAAAAATTTGGAAGCAAACAGTAAACTTACTGGCTGAGTTTAATCTTTCACCACAGCACCTTGAAAATCAGCATTATTAAATATTAACATATACTCGTATATACAGGATGTTATAGAATTGAATGCAAACATTTTTACCGGTAATAGCGTAAACTTTCGTATTTAGGTAACATTTTGTTATTCTATTGTTTAAAAATTAAAACTGAAAATACATGGACTATGAAAATCGCTATCCGCCTAGGTGTAATTATGATCTATCTTCTTCGATGCAACAAAAACCATCCGCGCTTCACAAAAACGCAGGCTTTTATCAGGTAATAAGGTCGTAGCTCACATGTGTTTATGAAAAAAGCAATAATAAATACAAGAAATCCCCACTTGTTCTCCAAAGGGCTCATTTATTAACATTAAAATGGGTTCGCATGTGGCACTTGCATGATGGAGCAACACCACATTTTGCTAGTCCAGTAACTGAATGGTTAAATAACCATTTTCCTAACCAGTGGGTCGATAGAAACGACCCAGTAGCTTGACCTCCGCGTTCACCCGATCTCAATCCGTGTGATTTTTGTCTGTGCCGCTACAGTTTGTGGAACTCCCGAAGTTTTTTTAAGTATCCGTGCAAACACCGTATTGCGACGTCCTGAAGCCTGTTCCTAGTCAAGGACAACATTTTCAACATTGCTTGCAAAAAGGATGTAGATCAATCCCACCCTTGTATCGGCTATTTCAAGCCCTAATGTTCCAGCCAATATCGTTGTCGTCGGTCGACTGAGGATTCTTTGGAGGTGGACGATCACTAATTAACTGCTTCATAATACCTGCTCGGGCGCCAGATTTCCTGTAGCCGGTGTACGGTGCAGTCTTGGGGTAGTCTGTCGGAGACGGTGTATTCCACGACATCAAAGAAACTACTAGCGATATAAGAAAGCTTTATTGATCCCATACAATAATGGGTATCATACACACAAACTGTAGGTATCTAAGCTTTGAACAGCCGATGCTGGGCGGAACCCCGCTGTTAATACCGAGCGGCGGTGGTTGAGCGGAGACGCGGTTAATGCCGAGCGGTGATAGTACGCGGTTGATGCCTAGAGGTACAACGGAATATCCTCCAATTGATGTCTGGAAGCGGAATGGGATATCCTCCGGTTAATGCCT